GTGATTTCGTCGTCTTAAGACTGTCGCTCAAAACTACAAAAATCATTTTTTCAATAAATCAAAGAAAAAACGAACGATTTGATCAACGTTGCTATATGTAGAGCTTTCATCTCCAGATGGTTTTGTATGACTGTATTTTTGATTGTTTACTAACATTTGACTGAAATGAATGAAATGAAGAATTTTCTCTTAATATAGAATTATTTTGGCAAGAAGTGATAAAATTCCTTTTGTGACTAAATAATTAAGACTTATAATGGGCATTAGTGAACTGATGTCAGATTCAGCATTTTGAACGTCATTTAGTGAGATCTATAACCATGTATGCTTCGAACAAAAAGCGATTTGACACTTCTCTCGTTGGTTCTATATAAAATGAAAGTTTTTTGACCGTTGCTCAGAAGTGTTTAAAAATTTCAGCATATGGTAGTCTACAATCAACTTTTAAGGCGCAGAAAAATTATAAACTAAATAATGAACAGTTTCTGATCCATTCCAGTCGTTACCTTTCCAAAAATATATACGGCCATTTTCTTGCGGAAACCGTTCGTTGTCCTTTTGGCTTCTTCCTTCCTATGAACGAAAAGAGACTCTGTTCTATAGCTTGAAACTTAATTAATTAATAACTCTGTGAATAGTTATCAGTTCATCGAAAAAAGCGAAGGGTATATGTAACCAGGTGTCTTCTTCAAACTGACATGGTTTGAGGGCATTTATAGGGAGAGAGGGTGGACCCCCTGCCTTAATTCGCTGTTTCGACTACATTGTGAAAATTTTAGTATGGGTAGGTTCCCTTGCACAGAGAAACAAAAAAATTCGTAACTTTGAAAGAATATCACACAAGCCAAAATCCTTTTACGGCTGTTACTGGCTCCTAGCTTGTATCGATCGGCACATAAATCATGGGAAACTGAGTGTTACGTCTGAGGAGGTTCCCTCGTCAGTATCATCAGACTCTTCCATTGAAAAGAAAGTCATTGCGACGTGTGATGCCGAAAGTGAAGGACAGCATCGTTCTATAGAGCATAAAGTACGATTCTTAATCACAAGTATGTCAGTCTTTGTTCTAAACGTTTCCAACTCGCGACATGTTATTTTAAAAAAGGAAGAGTTTGTTAACCATGCGTTGGACTATGTAATGTCTTTTCTAGGTCATTACCTTATTGTGAGTCAAGCAAATTATATTTCATAAAAAAATCCATAAAAGAGGATTAGAAACTTTAGAATTTGAAGCATAACTCGTTTTCAAAGTTATATAAAACTTTATTCTAAAAAGGTTTGTGAAAGTTGAAATAACTTGTAACATTAAAAAGTCCCTCAAATTTAAATATTGCAGAGTCATTATTCTGTTTTAAAACAAAAAGCTTCAAAACGATGTATTTTGAGACGTTTGAGTTTTACATCTTGGGTAATACGTACACTTACATATCATATAAAAAAATAGTAAAATTTCTTTTAATGGAATGAAAAGTAGAAAAATTTAGAAAAAAAAGTAGAAGAGTTTTCTTATTGTTTTTAGAAAGTAAAAGTTTACTTTACTTTGCTTATCCAAAATTATGTTTCACTTTTACGTTGTAACAAAAAATAAGAAAATGTTTTACTTTAGTAAAGTAAGTAATTTAACTGAGAGACGTGTTGAAACTTTGTAAAAGTTATGCGATTTGAGATACATAGCATAATGCAATTCTTGACATCGATCACGTATTTGGTATTATTTTGCAAATTTGACTGCACGAAAATGAAGAAGACAACGAGTCGGAGATAGTCATAAGTCCGTGATACTCAGAAATATGATTTAGAAAGTTTGATTTCATGAAGAACTTTAGCTCAGGCGCAAAAGTTGGGAAAAACTATTTCAAACCTTGCTCTCTTCTAATCTTGGGCGATACGTCGAATAAATACAAAAACATAGCATACAATTGGGGTATCTCCATTCATAGTATATCATCGTTACAGACAGGTGTGGCACACGGACGGAGACCTACCTCATTCGATAGAGAATTTGACGCTGATTTCAAATACGTTATTTAAAAAAATTTTGAACGTTGATGCGGGGATCAAACATCGACCGAAAGATGGCGTTTTTCCGTACTTTTAGGATTTTTTGGAAATTGATTTTCTCGCTAAGTACTTCGTTGACCGCGCTGCAAATTCCAGGATATACACTAGGGAGCACAAGGAATAAGATGCCTCTTGACTCAACTTCGAAAACGCTCAGATGACTTCTTATAGCAGTTCCGAAAATAGCCGAAAATTACTAGTTTTGAAATCAAAATCATCTAATTCAACTCTAAAGTAAAATCTGAGACATGCATCGGATTCAGCGTGTCGAGAACTACTTGAAAATGTGGTTTGCGCTTTTTTGAACGATTTAAGAAACACAGAGGGTCTTTTAAAGGTTAAATCGCCGTTTCTTCGGATTTTAGCAGTGTTTGGATGCGGCGTTTTGTATGGCCGATGAAGATGCCGGTTGTTCAGAAAACCCTACAAGTCCATTTAAAGTCAGAGAATGTTAAAATATCATCAATTTTTAGAGAATTCACTTCAGTTCAAAATGAGACCTGATTCAGAATTTTTGGGCGTAATATCGCCGAGTTTTAGCGAAAATATGTGAACGTGGGATAAACGCTTCTTTTGCTAAAACCCGGCGATATTACACCCGAAAATTCTTAATCAGGTCTCATTTTGAACAGAATTCAATTCTACAAATTGATGGTATTTTAATATTCTCTAACTTTAAATGGATTTATGGGTTTTTCTGGAAAACCGGTATCTTCAGAGATTCATGTCTCAGGAACAGAAAATAATAGATTGGGTTTACAGTAGATTCATATACTTTCACAGGCGTAGAATCCAAAAATAACGACCGCAACATGCTCTTGTAGCCGGTTTCCATACAAAACGCCGCATCCAAAAACTGCTAAAATCCGAAGAAATGGCGATTTAACCTTTAAAAAACCCTCTTTGTTTCTTAAATCTTTCAAAGAAGCAAAAACCACATTTTCAAGTAGTTCTCGACACGCTGAATTCGATGCATGTCTCTGATGCATGATGTTGATTTCAAAACTAGTAATTTTCAAGTTTTTTGCCATTTTCAGAACTGCTATAAAAGTCACTGGAGCGTTTTCGAAGTTGAGTCAAGTGGCATCTTATTCCTTGTGCTCCCTAGTGTATACCATGGTATTTGCAGCACGGTCAACGAAGTACTTAGCGAGAAAATCAATTTCCAAAAAATCCTAAAAGTACGGAAAACGCCATCTTTCGGTCGATGTTTGAACCTCGCATCAACGTTCAAATTCTTTTTTAATGATGTATTTGAAATCAGCGTCAAATTCTTTATCGAATGAGGTAGGTCCCGTCCGTGCACTGAAAGTGCGAGAATATTATATCTCTAACGAGCTCCTGCACCATATTCAGAAATATCACGTTCAGCTGTTAATGATTTCCAGATAGGTGTGAAAAAACTTCATGCGCTCTTAAAGCATGATCAATTCTTTAATGAAGAAAGAAATCAGAGCTACTCATCAGCCAAAAATGGATTATAAAACCTCAAAGGTAGTCTCTCTTGTAGCTCGCGACATTCTTTATCAGATGAGGTATTGCTTGAATTCATTTGTTGAGTCAATGGGACTTTAAGTTGGCAAAGTAGGCTAAATTAACGTTAATTAGTACTAATTAGTGAATAACAGGAAGGAAAGAACAAACTTGTACATATTTTCTCGAAGTACATATTCTCCACACATTTCTCTATGGATCTGGGCAAGAACCAAATTTTTGAAGAATGGAGAATGAATAGGAAATTTTGTAGTAATAGTTCTGTGCTCAAAAATTTAACAATATGTTTTTAAGTAATTAATTTTCTTCTCGGCCAGATAATGTCAGTAGGCCGAAAAAACTTCAGGACGTATACTTCGACGTATACCTAGCTAGCGCCCCCTCCCACTTCCTTAATAGATAGAAAAATGTTGGGTCCTTACTGTCATTGCGTTTGGTTTGATTTTGATTTTAGTTGCATGACCTAAGGTTAGGCACGAAACAATACGAGATCTTGAAAGACGCTTGACATCTGGACTCTTGGTTATTAAGATTTTCGAGATCAAGAGTCTTGATATAAAAAAATCGTGATATCAGTAACATAGCGAGGTAAGGTGTTCAGAAGCTCGAGCTATGTCAACTTTTTCTAATGTATGACTGAAAACTTTGGTTTTCGACTGGATATAACAATATATCGTTACGTTCTCAAATAACTGTTTTTTAAAACTTCGTGTATTTTACCTAAAAACTTGCATTTTTCCACTGAAATTTTGTGATTTTCCGCTAAAATTTTCCGGTTTTGGGATAAATTAAAAAACCGGAACCCGTACATGTAACTACTCTACTCGTACTCGACGAGTTCGTGGATTGTACATCTATAGAATTGTGCCTATGTAACAGTATGATTTTTATTTAAAAGTGATACGTCTGATTCCCCTTATTATTATTTTAACTCCGATTAAAGTTTAGAGCACAATTTACAGCTAGTCTAACTAGGCATGAACCAAAATCAAGATATCTTGAAAATATTGAATCGAGACTATTGCTGATCAAAAGGCTTTATTCAATATTTTCAAGATGTATTTTGGTTCATGCCTAATGACCTATGTGAATGCATTTTGATTACTATAGCAATTACTTTATTCAACGTGCGTTCATTACTGTATTGCTGAAAAAGTAGAAAAGTTGACAGAAGTATTTCACTCTATATATAAAGATTTCTTTCTGTACATTAGAGTAACAAAAAAGTAAGCAGATAAATGAATATTTTTGTTGTTTTTCATTCTTTCTACTTTAAGAAACCAAGAAAAAGTTTGAATATCTATAGTTTCTGTTCGAATGATACACAAATATTAATCAGAATGATGGAAAAGTGCTGTTTAGAATTGAAGACGTATTTTAAACTCATTGGTTGTAAACATTTAATAGTATGTTTATCATTCTGTTCAATGAGTTTTTTTATCAGCATGTGTGCACGTCAATATTATTCTTATCCAACGCAAACAAGTGTACAAATTCGTTTAGAAAGTGGAATGAACTTTCCAGCCGTAACCATCTGTAGTGGAAATCCATTTCGGTATGATAAAATTCGAATGCCTCTAAACTATTATATTGTTCAAAATAATATATCATCAGATCCTACCAGTATGACGTATTTTCAATCAGTCAGTGCTATGTTCAATTTTATCTTAGAATTATTTAACGAAAATAATATTGATCAAATTCGATCATACGGTTTTCAACTTGACGATATTCTATTAAATTGTACCTATAATGGTATTGATTGTCTTCACAATAGTAATAAAGTATTTGTAGAATCAATATCAATAACACTGGGCAATTGTTATACATTTAATGCGAAAACGTTAACACAGTCACTTTATAAAATAAATGATATAGAAAAAGGATTGATATTAGAAAATGGTCTAGTTTTAACATTGTATATAAATAGTGAATTATATACTCCTATTTATAACTATGGTATTGGTTTAACAGCTATGGTTCATGATAATGTTCAATTACCATTAGTCAAATCTCTCGGTAATCATTTTCAACCGGGTATGGAACATCAAATTATTTATCGTAAAAGTGAAGTAACTTATTTGGGTTCACCTTTCACACCATGTACAACGACAATAAGTGCTGATATGCAAGCACTTTATTCAACATTGTTTGGTGATGCACAATATGATTATTCTCAATCAATTTGCTATGAATTATGTCAGCAAACTTATATTTATCAGCAATGTCAATGTGTATTACCTGTTTATTTTTACATTAAATCTTTAATGATTAATGACCAATTAATATCGGTTAATGCATGTTATATTGGTACGGAACAGGAAATGTGTGCTTATCGAGCTAAACAAACATTTGTGAATAATATTAGTTTACAAGTTAAAAGTTGTATTCGATGTCAACAACAATGTCAAATTGTTACATTCGATACAGATATAACCGCGTTGAAAGGACCTACTACTGCACAAAAACAATTTTTATACCAATCAGTCTTCTCCCAAAATACAACAATACCGTTGCAAGCAGATTTTCAAACAAATTATGACTCTTATATAGATAACAATTATTTAAAACTAACGGTAATATGTGGAAGTCAATATGTCACAACTTATCAAGAAAAAACCGTTTACACATGGACAGCATTGTTATCAGACATAGGAGGCCAAAGCGGATTGTAAGTATACAAGTTAAATTTCTGATTCTGCTATCTGAAATGAAATAGACTTCTCACATATACGAGAACGATGGACGGTTTCCAATTTATTTTTACAACGGAAAAGTAGCATCAGGGCTTCGAATCGACTGGGTTAAAACAAGCCCGGCCGATGGCTTACTACAGACTGCGTTTTTTTCACAATCAGAACCATTGGTTGGGCTGGACCACTACCTGTTATAATCGGTGCCCATGGGACGAAGTCCTCTGCCCATGGGGTGATGTATAGAAAAACCGACATTTTTCTACTAGAGGCCGCGTGAGAACGGTATGACAAATTTACTCTTTTGAAGTGTCTTATTCTGCTCTGTCGTTGGTCCTTATGGAACAGAAGAGTAAATGACAATTACCCTTGATCAGCATGGTAAATGAGGCTGTGTTCGGGAAAAACCTTTTATTAGATGGGCCAGCTAGTCCAGTCCATGGATTGGGCTGGGCTGGAAAGTTTATGAACTAAAAGCCATGGGCTAGGCTGGTAAAGGGCGAGATAGTCCATGGGCCAACTTTTCTCGGCCTAGCCGGACCCATTCGGAGCCCTGGCACGTATTATTTCTCATGGGGGCTCTATTTAGTCGACGTATATGAGTTTATAAACTGTCGTATCATCACAAAACGTCAAAAAAGAACATTTTTAACTTCCTCTGATTTTTCTTGGGATAGAGGGTTCCTTGATGTTTTGTTTCGTACATCCTTGGTGAAAACAGGAAATACTCACGAAAAATAGATTCAATACTACACATGTCATTCTAGCAGTCATTCCATATGCTAACTAAAAATATCGTATCAGAAGTGTGATGAGGGCTCTGAAATTCCCATAAGGATTTTTCCGATACTTTGAATATTATTTAGATAGGCGCTTACATAGAGCTGGACCACTTCCAATATGAGACTTTGATCTCTCGAAGATTTATTGGGCTTCTTTGACGTATACTCAGTATGAAACTATCACACAATGCTCATATTAATTAAGAGACAACTAGAACGTCGAAAGAATGTTAGAAACAACTAGAACAACAACAACAAGAAGAAACAAACTAGAACGTTAGAAACAACTAGAAGTACTGTAATTTAAGTTCAACGCATGTATTCAAAAGCAAACTATTGTCCATCCAAAAAAAGAATGGTATATGACTGTTTTTTGAATAACTTTCGATAGGAAAAAGCTAAAGAGCTTCAATTTTCACCATTCGAAAGAGGAG